CTATGCAATAAATTTGTCACTATTTTTGAAGACTGTGTCCACTTTGTCGTCCACAAATGTCATAATGTTAATAATATTAAATCTACAATAATTTAGAAATATATACACAATTATATTTAGAAAGCGATGGCACTTCTTCATCGAATCGATAACCGCTTGAACATTTCTAAGTTAAAATTAATGCTTAAAGAATTTAAATACATTATTACTTTTTTTAAATAAAAAAAATACTGAATTATAAAAACCAAAGCCGTTCTCGATTCGACGTAAATTAACCCTTGTGTATACATAAATTTTAAGAAAGGCCATCTAAATTTAAGCACGTAGCAGTAGAGTAAGCGTTACGCTGAATTTCACTAATCAAATTAGGAAAAACATAATCAAAATAAAGTGGAATGTATTGATGAGCTGGAGGTAATTACTTTATGTACGCTGATGCTCCAATCAATTCAAAATTTTAGTAGAGCGCATACAAACTGATATCAAAAACAATATACACATAGAACTACTTGCAATTAACAGAATGAAATGCCTCAAAAAAGCTCGACTATACTAAAGAAATGAAGCTTCGAATATAATATGCAATAATGACTGTTTGATGAGTTAAATAAAATTACATTTTTGTTCCAGTTTGCACAGAAATTTTTAAGTGAATACAATTCGTCTGCTTATGTCTACCTGAACAGCTCCAACAGTTATGTATTGCTCAGAATGCAAATGTGAGACAAACTTCTTTATACGAAAATCACACTGTATAATGCTTATTAAAACGAATTACTTACTAATGTGAATACTTATTTACTGGTTTTCATTAAAAAGTTATTTTCGATGTACAATTTTATGTGTATTTCATTTTCTTTCGTTATAAGTGTAAGTATAAATACAGAAATTTGCAAATCACTCGCAACTCAAACACGTGAAATTTTTACCACATAAATGCAGTTATTTGCACTTCCCAATGCAGCTGGTCTACATAACTGGAACGGATACGCATATTTTTGAATTTTTAACCGACCCAGATATGTCAACTTGGCAGCATAGTTCGAAATGACAGAATAATTTCCATTAAACACATGATAACGGCACATATTTAAATAATAAAAACAAGCAATATCTGACATTTTAATTTATTTGTGTCATTTAAAAACTATATTTCACATGTATGTATGTATATACTTTTTATATTTTTTCATACTATTATAATTATATTCAAGTATTATTTAAATTTAAAATTTTGTTTTTCTATCGCGCGTTATATATGTATTATTTTATTATAAACTAAAAGTTAATAGCGTTTATTATGTTAGCGATTTGCATCTGTGTTTCATTAACGGCAATAGATTGTATAAAGCGATAATAAGTTCGTTATATTCATCATAATTAGCTTGTTCAATATGTAAGTATGTGTGTGTGTTTAGAAAACTGTGACGTGAATTTTTAGGTTATAATGATAACTGTAATGTGTCTTTTAAAGAAAAAAAAAGGAACTTAGACTGAAACCAGATTTAATGCAAACATAAAACGCTGAACACAAAAATTATCAATTAATATTTAAATTAAATGAGCTATTATGTTACAAAAGCTTTGGGGCCATTTACTTATATTGTGTGTGTGTTTTGTTTAATGTTGTCTGAGAATAAATTATTTTGGAAGCAATTCATGTTGTATAGCGAGCCTTACAGCACTTTCAATAAGGTGGTAAATTTGAAATGGTCAATAGATGAAAGCAAATAATTTTATAATTAATTTCCAATGGCTTTTTTAGAGATATTTATAAAAAGAAAAGACTACTAAATATTTCTAACAACAAAAATATTGGTAATCCTTTCAATTTAACAGTTACTAATCATATCGGCTTATCGAAAGTGTTATAGGCTAAGCTAGTCGCGTTATAAAAAAAATCTTACAACAGAACCGACAGAATTTTATGCTGACGTATTGAAATTGTACTTATGTATAAATAATTTTCGCTACTTTGTTGGTTTTTAAATTAAAGAAAAGTTGTGAAATTACCAAAAAAAAAAAAAAACAATTAATTAAAACACTATAAATTTATATTTTGCTGCCATGAACGCTGTAGCACTCGCCTTTTGTCTGTATGTATGTATATATATATATATAGTATAAATGTACGAATAATTGCAACTCTAAATGGATAGCTTAGTATATCTTAGTGCTAAACAGGAGGTACAATCCCATTCTTAGTGTTTTCAACCCTTACATTCGCCTTTTTACAAATTATCCAATTTATTTAGCATTCTACAGTATCGTTTATAGTTTTTATTTTTAAAATTTTTGTTTTAGCATTAATTATTTTATACACTACAAAATTCTTTATAATCGCCAACTTGTGGCATTTAAGTGTTTATTTTTTTTCTTAATTGTTTTTTATTTTAGTTTAATGTGTGAGAAAATAATAATAATTTTTAAGTTATATAAATAAGCCAGTATTAGGTGAGACAGTATTAAGTTGAGTAAAATATACATATATGTAAATGTAAAACAAAAAGCGAAAAAATTAAGCAATAATTATTGCAAATGGAATTATGCGGAATTTTTGTAGAGCCAAGTTTGAAATACATATAAACTGCATGATAAACGCGTTAAAGGGTATACACACAAGTAAACGTTTGGCTATAGCACTCACGCGCGTCTTTGTTGTTTCAATTAAATAATTTGTTCAACTATTTAGCATATCGCGGTATGGGTTATATTTGCATTTTTTAGTAGTTAACTATATTTATCAATTAATTACAAGTAATTTTACGCATTTAAAATAAAATTTAAACTGCTTTTATTTAGGTTCATTTAAAATTATAATCATTCCTTATTTTTAGTTGTAGGCGTATTTGTTTTTATATGTTTGTTGTATTATTATATATAGTCGTCTGTTTTTTTTTTTTTATTTACCACCATCAACCTTCTCGTTTTATGGAACTGGGAGTTTCTGCCAGACCTTTCACTTTGAGGCGATCAGCAGTTTTCAAGAAGGCCGGCAATTGTTCTTGCGAGACATTTACTTCGCCGGCGTACATAAACTCTAATATAGCTTGCAGATGTATATACGATACATCTTTTAAAATAATGATGGGGTGCTTTGAAGGATTTTCCTGTGATAAAAAATTGTTAGAAATGTTAAAAATATTTTTTCATTTCATGATATAAATTGTTATATTTTACCTCCAAAAGTGCTTTGAAATACGGGCTACATGCAGATAGAACCATTTTGTGCGCTTTGCAAGTTTGTCCTTCGCAGGCAAGTGTTACCTGAAATGATATTCATAAATTGTGGTATAAAAAAAAAACCATTGCCAGTTGAAAATATGAAAAACCGTTAAAAGAAAAAAGTATAAAGCATACTTATGCGCAACTGAAATACGCGGGTTGCTAAATGTGGACACATCATAAAAATATTTCATTGTCTATATTACATGTTTAAGCACCCAAAGCAACCAATGGTGTATCAATGGTGTGCATGTATAGTATGTAACTGAAGACGTTAATTTACATCTATTTACTTATATTTCAACAAAGCAGTCTTCTAGTTTTGAAAACCTTTAACACAACGACAACAAATATACCTATAACTCATTAAATACTAAATGCAACCTAACAACCAGCAGCAATGAACGATGGTGGCGAAACTTCCAAGAAAGCAATGGATAATAAAGAAACGAAAAGAGAAACTCATGGCTCAATGACACAACAAAAAAGCAAAAGAAGTTTCGTTAAATCGAACAAACAAAAAAAAAAAAAAAAAAAAAAAAATACAACCAAGGTAAGATTCTTGCAGTTTAATATTTTTTACTTGTTTTGTCGAAATACATATCATACTAACAAATTTTGAATGAAAATAACACTAAAAATAAAACTGAGGTTAATAGAAGATTAGAAGTATTATATATAACTAAAATAATTTCAATTTAGTTCTAAAATATCTTCGAATATTGAAAGCTTAAATACATGGCCATTTAATTAATAACCAAAGGAAAATATTATTAATTTTAACTTGTTGAGACGAAAGATCCTAGCTATTATATAATAGTTACGGGTTTCTTACTTCAATTTATGTCCCATATCCTAATCCTGACAATTTAAGAAACAGTGCTTAAAAATCGAAGTGAGCATCAGAGAGATACCACAGAAGTTGACTCAACACATTTGGTTAATGTTTTGATTAAAAAATGTTACGAGTCTAGAGCAAAAGCCTGAATCTTTTGCGAAAATTACGTCGAGTAGAAGTCACAAAGGAGATGCTTGAAAACGTAGCTGAAGATCCTACATTCATTCGTTCCCACGACAGTATGATCTAACTAACCAAATCAGACACGGATTTTTATCCGGTCAAGGGCTGTCAACTGGGCACTATTCCTTGAAATTACTTCAGGAATGTTTATACCAAGTGTATGGAAATTTGAATTAAGCATTGATATGCTTGCATTAGCTCAAAAAGAGTCCATCTTGAAGTAGAGATTAGCATAAAATTATGTGAAACAAGTAAGGAAGGGCTAAGTTCGGGTGTCACCGAACATTTTATACTCTCGCATGATAAAGTGATAATCGAGATTTCAGGCGTGATTGTGAACC